TGGGCTCTGATACCAATTGTTAGGATCGGAGCGGCACTAAGAGGGGGGGGGGGGGGGGTGAATTAGTGCAGCGGATTAAAACGTTGGTTTCGACAAATCTTTCGTACGATAAAAACCGAACTTGAAAAGCTTAACTTGAATGTGTGTTCATAAAGGTGTGTAGTAAAGGTAATGATGAAATAAAGCACGTAAGAAGGTTTGCAGTAATGTAAATAGCAGTAAGAAAATGCAAACCAGAGATCACGCCGATTTTAAAGTGGTTCGGTCAAATGACCTACATCCACTTGCGAGGCCCTCTTCGATGAGGCTCCCACCTTCCACTAGCAAATCTCTTGAAAGGAAAGGGTAAATACCCCTCTTACAACCTTTTACAAGCAGTTCACACTCTTACAAATTTTCAGCAAGAAAGGAGGTGAACACTCTAGCAAATTGAAAACAAGACTTGCTAAGACTTTTCTAAGACCTTTTTCTCAATCTTTGCTACTCAAAAAGTTGTAATCTCAGCTGAGAATTGAGGGGTATTTATAGGCCTCAAGAGGATTCAAATTTGGGCTCCAAAATTTGAATTCTCTTTGGTTCCTGATGCTGGTGGTGCCACCGCTTGTCAGTGTCTGACACTGACAGTGGACTGGCGGTGCCACCGCCCAGCCAAGCGGTGCCACCGCCTGGCTCTCGGGTGTTGGGCGGTGTCACCGCCCAGCCAGGCCGTGCCACCGCCTGGCTCTCGGGTTCTAGGCGGTGCCACTGCCTACACTATTTCAGCTCACTGGTTGGGCTCCAAACTTGGCCCAAACCAATCCGAACTCGGGCCTAATTGGCCCCTACTTGAGTTATAGGATTAACACCTAATCCTAACCCTAATTAACGTGCTAACTACGAATTTAAAGACATTTTCTAAGCTATTACAAAGTCCGCAAGTCAAGACTTTTTCCGGCGAGCTTCCGGCAAACTTCCGACGGTCTTCCGACGAACTCTCGGAAACCATTCTACGGACTCCCGGCAAGCTCCTAGACTTCACGATTTGATCTTGGCGAGTTCCAATGAGCTTCTTCGGCAAGCTCCGATCTTTCTCGGCGAGCTCCGTGAACTTCCAACGAACCTTCCGGCGAGCTTCCGAAAAACCCTTCGGCAAGCTCCCTACTCATTCTCGGCTAGTTCCGGCAGCATTCCCGACGAACCTTCGGACTTTCGTCGAACTCTCGAACTCGCAACAAATCCTTCGCGCTTGACTCCGACACTTTGTTTCGCTTTTTGTCTTCATCATTATCGTAGTTAAACCTGCACACACAAGCCAAAACTCTACTCCGATCTAGACAATTATTACAACACGAATTGACATTCTGTTGCTCGGCACGTCATTGGTTGGCCCGATGCCTGACGTCCGAAGCCTTCTGCCATCCAATCTCCTAACGTGATCTCCTCCGGCGAAATGTCAATTCCTCCTGCGTTAACTGTCTAATCCTGATCGAGTAGACCTGCATTACTCAAAACGTAGATTAAATCATAAACACATATCAATTAGTTTAATCATCAAAATCCGAGATTCAACACTTGTAGATAATGTGGATGGAAAATGCTATTTGTCTGGAGTTTATCAACCTATAAAAGTTTCTGGATTGTTGTTTGTCTCTCATAGCTCATTAGGAATGGTATTGGTGACATCTGGATATTGCATGGTCCAAAATTAAATGTAAGGTGCCCTACTCTTTGCCAAATCAGCAACAGCCTTGAGTCTAGAGGTCCTCTAACTCCCTGTTACCTGTTGCATATTGTAAGTGACTGTTGTAGAAAGTTAAGTTTAAGGGCCAATAATTCTTTTTTAATTTTCTTCCTTTCTAACTTGAGTATCTATAGTGTCCTTTTCTTATTGCTAGCCTATATTATCTTTATATTTACATTTAGATATTTGTATCTCGTTGAGATATATCACTAGTTTTTCCTGCTACTTGACTATATAGATGAGCTAAAGTTTGTCAGCAGTTGTTCAATCTTGGAAGACACAATAGTAGATGGATCAATATTTTGACAGAAGAGAAAGTAATAAAGAACTCATTGTAGAAAGAAATCAAGAGTGCATCAGATGAAAGGTTTAAGATGATCGTGAGCACCTCAGGAAAATGTGAAGTTCCAAATTATGGTATAAATCTTTTATGCAGCATAATTTAAGAAATTGCTGAAGACAAAGGTAATATTTTTAGGATTTAGCTGGCTGGATTAGTTTGAAAGGGATTGTATTGGTCCAAATGAAGACTAGATTTAATCGTTTTATAATTTGAATCTTTTTAGATTTTCCAAACTTGTGTTGTAAGACTTGTATACAAACTTTGTAGAGTGCAAAACATTTCCAAGAAATTTTAGGTAGGATTTAGGTTGAATAGCATAATTGTTGAAGTGATTTGTTTTACAGCAACATTTTTTATACAAAAACAGTTTTAAAGCAAGCATTAGTTTCTAATACCTCCATATTGAGAATAGGGAACTTCCTGCCCTTTGGTGACATGATGATACCCATGGGATGATATTAATGCAAGGTTGTGAAATCTTGCATAACAACTCATTAAATCTCTCTTAACAGAAACAGGACTGAGCGATTGATTTTGGCTTTAACATATCTTTTTTGGAAGAATAAGTGCATGTTTTTTTTTCAAGAATTGATATAAAAAAAAGTAGGGAATGATAGTTTTTGTTAAATTGCTTGTTCTTGTTTGAGTTGAGAATATGACAAAAAATGTCAAGAAAAGGAATACTTTGTAGTTTCACATCTAAAAGGACAAGCAATGGCATATAAATGTAGGGGAATAACTAATTCTACCATTTTGTTATAAAATGCTCTTCTGTTGCTTACACCATTTGATGTGACTTGTGCATCCTCTTGACTGGTCAAAATGAGTTCCACAAGGTGAGGTTATTTGGCAGGTTATGACGGAATATCTTGATACTCCCTCACTTTTCTCCACCGACTGAGCCATAGAAAGGAAATTATGATACTTTTAGATGATCACTAACATGATAAATTTCTCTACCCCTTTATTAAGGCTTTAATGGTTCCTTTTAGGTTGTTCCTTGTATTTCTGTTTTTATTGTCAGAACTTACAAGAAGCTTTAAAATTGTCCCTTGTTATGTGGTTATTCATTTCTTAAGATACACTAGTTCATCACAACATTCAAATATTTCTATAACAGATTTTACTACCTAAAAATATTAAACTCCCTGAGTTTCAGTTGTTTCTCATAATTTTTAACCCAAATCTGAGCTTTAAGTATATTTATTTCTATATTGCAGATTCTAAGTGACTTAAACATGTATGCTTTCATTTTGAATGGCATTTGGCCTTCTGTGTTACATGTGAAACAATTTGGTGAAATTTTGTTACTATAAGCTATATTCTAAGTATGTCTTAAAATTTTGTTGTCACATGGCATACTATGTCGCTCAGGATGGCAAACCTGTTATGAGTGCCTCCCTTGTGGGTGGTGAGAACGAAGCACTGGAGAGGTTGAAGAAGTTTGCTGCCGAATGTTGTGCCCAACCAAATAAAGGAAACAGGGATAACACTAGGAATAGCATATATGGTGCTAATTTCTCATGCAAAATCTCACCATGGCTAGCCATGGGTTGTCTTTCACCTCGCTTCATGTTGGCGAGGCTCAAGAAAACTGCAACTAGGTATTTTTCTTGCATGCAAGTCTTAACACTTTTGATGATCTCAGCACCAGGGGATGACTGTAAAACAGGATCGTTCATTCCTATCCAAGATTGTAGAGTTGAATTTCTGGAACATGATTTCTTATTCCTTTGATTCTGTCTTGCATAAATCACGGAGTCCTAAATTTTTGGTTCACAGGACCATTTCTGCTGCTGTATCTCAGACGAATGGTGTGGATTCAACAGATGGTGGGATGAACTGGTTGATGTTTGAGCTATTGTGGAGGGATTTCTTCAGGTATCATATTGGGCACACTACTATTCTGTCACCTGTTTCTAATGAGATATTATGTATTCACTTATGTTGAGCACCGAATACAGGTTTTCTATCTAGATATTTTAGCATAGCAGATTTTACCTTGACATGCTACTTTACCAGTTCAGACTTCTTTTTGGTAAAGAGCAACATTTAGGGAACAATCTGCCATAACTTGGTTGGGCTCCAGGAACTCTGGATTCACTGTTTTGCTTTCTTGTCAGGTTCATCACCAAGAAGTACAGCTCCACAAAGAAGGCAGAGGCTGTGCCAGCCTCAGCTTGTACCGGTGCTCTGGTTTAGGTCTGTTTGCCTCGGTTGAGTCAGGAGCTTAAATGCAAGCTTGGCCTGTGAAATTTGAGGTACTTGCTAAGTGATTCGAGTTCCTGACGCAAATTTCTTCTAATTTCATGTAATTGTCATAGCATGTCTTTTATTTCTCATACATCAATTTTGGACTTCCAGCAGATGCACAAATGTTTATGCCTTTCACAATAAGCAGCTAATTTAATTGATTTACTCAGAGAGTATAATTTGGTGGCATCAATAACTCTTGATACACACTGGTACAGTAAGCAGCTTAAACCGGTGCTCTGGTTTGGGTCTGTTTGCCTCAGTTCGAGTCAGGAACTTGAATGCAAACTTAGCCTGTGAAATTTGACGTACTTGCTACGTGATCGAGCAATTTTTTTTTAAATTTTTATATCATATTAAATAACATACATAACATTTTATGTTTATTCGAATATGAAATCTATCACTTGCATAATCATTCCGATGTCTCTATAAAGACTAAGATAAACCATACTATGGGGAAGAATTAGATGATATTAAATAATATACATGGCACTTATATGTCTATTTAAACCTACCATTTGTGTAATCATTCGAATGTCTCGATAGAGACTAAGATGAAGCATATTATGAGGATAAGAATTAAATAATATTAAAAAACATACATGACACTTGTATATATACCTATTCGAACATAAAATCTATCGCCTGCGTAATCATTTGGACGTCTCAATAGAGACTATG